GTTCGCTCCGCGCGTCCCTCGTCGCCCGCCCAGGGTCCCTGTGGTTTGGGGTTCCAGCCTCTCTCAAGCCCTGGGAGACGGCGCTGGACTCAACGCCACGGGACTGGCACGGGACTGGCACTGTGGTGGCCAGGGACTGGAAGATGCTTTTCTCCATCGTGAGCCAGTCTGCCCGAGCTTCCTGATCTGCGTGCAGACAGGTTCCCGTCCCCGGTCCCAAAGAACCCGCGGGATTAGGAGAAACTTGGGGATCCGCCTGTTGAGGCAGCTGTTGAAAACTGTGGTTCTTGGGGCTGGAGAAGTCGTTCAGTGGTGGTTAGGAGTGTTTGTCTGGTCTGAAGAAAGCCTTGGGGGTCATTCGCCAGCGCCTCACAAAGACTGGTGTGATGGCACGGGCTTGAAATGCTAGCTAGTACTCAGTAGGTGGAGGCCAAGAGGATCCAAATCTCAAGGCCATTTTGGGTTCGAAACCTGCTGGAGACCAGCCTGGAATGCACGAGGGCCCGTTGAAATACGGAAGGGAAAGATGGTAGGTGTAATTCTTCAAAGCCAGTTTAAGAAAGATGCAACATGTCTAAAGTAGCAGGAGTCTTGCGGATATGGAGGTAGTAATTGATGCGTGCATTGCACCGAAGCTTCACCGCAGCGGACCACTCAACTGCAGGTCAGTCTTTCTAAGGACTTATTTAGGAAACCAACTAAACACACTTCCAGGCCTCTGACCCCGCCACAGTGGCCAACACTCCAAAAGTTCTAAGTCGATTAAATCACCACCATTAAAAATTCCTCACTGGAGCTGGGCGTTGGTGGCGCACGCCTTTAATCCCAGCACTCTGGAGGCAGAAGCAGGCGGATCTCTGTGAGTTCGAGACCAGCCTGGTCTCCAGAGTGAGTGCCAGGATAGGCTTCATACCTACACAGAGAAACTCTGTCTCGGGGGAAAAAAAAATTCATCACTGGTGTCAGCACTGGCAACATTACCAATTTCCCAAACATTGTTGTCCTGTTCAAGCCCTTCAAAAATGATGAGTTGGATTTATGAGGAGCTGGACAAAAGGGAAACATGATCAAAAATACTGTATGAGAAATCTTTAAAGGAAAAGTATTAAAAGAATTTTAGTCATTTTGAGGGATTCTTTTTTCTTAATAATTCTATTTCTTTTTAACCCCTCTCTTTAAAATGTTTTTATTCATGTATATGTGCATATGCCTGTTTGTTTGTGTACCGGGTGTGTGCAGGTGTCTGAGGACTGCCTGCACCACAGGAATTGAGTTATAGTCCATTGTTAACTGCTGGGAACCAAACTGAAACCCTCTACAAGAACAAGAGACACCTCTACAAGAACAAGAGATACCTTCTGTCCTCTGGCTCACTTGTGGTTTGAAAGAAAATGGCCCCCAAGGGGCGTGGCCCTATTATAAGGTGTGGCCTTGTTGGAAGAAGAGTGTCACTGTGGAGGCAGGCAATCAGGTCTCTTGCTCAAGCTTCCCTCATTGTATCAGTCTTCTTCCTGTTTCGCAAGGTGCTGGACTCTCAGCTTCTGCAGTACCACGTTTGCCTGCATGTCACCACGCTCCCCAGCATGATAATTGACTGACCCTCTGAAACTGAGCCGCCACCTCAATTAAATGCTTATAAGAGTTGTGGTGGTCACAGTGTCCCTTCACAGCAATAGAAACCTAAGACACCACTTTTAACGTTCTGCATGTGGTTTGGGTGTGTCTGAGACCGGATATCTCTATGTAGTCCTGTTTGGCCTGCAACTTACTATGGAGACAGACAAGTCTTACCTCATGCAGGATGATTCCAATAAAAATTGGAAGGCATCTCCACAGATTTACACCTAAAATTAAAAGTGTCTTACACCATTTACAAGAAAGCAGAATGGTAGAGCAAAAATGTAAAGAACACACAACAACGTACTTGCCAAAAACTGAAGTAGTCACAAGAAAGCACTTGCAACCTGGTGTGGTGGCACCCCCCCCCTTTGATACCAGCACTCAGAAGACAAAGGCAGGCATATCTCCCTGAGTTCAAGGCTAGCATGGTCTACATAGTGAATTTCAGGACAGCTAGGGCTATGTAGGAGGGCCTGTCTATGTGGGGCAGGGGAACCACAAACACACACAAAGAAAAAACCCTGGGAATGTCATTGTGTCATTGTCATGAAAAGCCTAATGTTATTAAAACATCTTGTTTTTATTTTTTTAAGATTTTATTTATTATGTATACAACATTCTGCTTCCAGAAGAGGGCACCAGATCTCATAATAGATGGTTGTGAGCCACCATGTGGTTGCTGGGAATTGAACTCAGGACCTCTGGAAGAACAGTCAGTGCTCTTAACCTTTGAGCCATCTCTCCAGCCCCTATTAAAACATCTTAAATGCCACATTCTGTAGATCTCTGAAGTGTTTTCAGACAACCGATCTAAAATATATCTATTTGAGCTTAAAAATATGCCTAACATGACTAAAAGTTTGATTGTTTTAGGTGACAAACTACTAACCTGCATTTCTTTATTATCTTAAATAGTTTGTAATAATAGTTTTCAAGGACTAGGAATTTATATTGTTAAAGGAGCTGCATAGGTACAATTACTTTAAACAAGAGTAGAAACATGTACAGTGTGTTCTAACAAAAATAACCTTAAATTTTTACCAGTATACAAACATAAACAAGAGTAGATATGCATTACAACAAAGATAATCTTAATTGTTTTAGAAAAAGCCAAATGATGATGTCACACACCTATAATCATTGCACTTGGGAGGCAGAAGCAGGCAGATCTCAGTGAGTTTGAGGCCAGCCTGGTTTACAAAGTGAGTTCCAAGATAGCCAGGACTGTTACACAGAGAAACCCTGTCTCAAAAAACGAAAAAAAAATTGTATTAATATACAAAAATCCATACCAATGTAAAATATTTAAAACTAGTACGTTTTTTAAATTTATAAGTTGATTCAATAATATACCCTTTTATCCCATCATTTCTGTATCCCCCTTTTCCTTTTAGAACAAGATCTCTGAATCTAATCTCTTTTTTCAGCTTTTTTTTCTGACCTTTATCAGTAATAACTTGTAAACAACCCTCCTAATCCATGACAAATTTCTTTAACCTATTGATGACTAAAAAACACCCACTCATTCCACCTCTTGGGAATTTGGGTGTTGTATTTTCTAGATTGTTTACTGTTGTCTGTGGGGCCTGGCATCTTTAGGGAACCCCAAGAAAACGGATAATGGAGAGAGCTAGCTGTAACATTTGTTGCCGTTCTTGGTGTAATGGGAAAGTGTAGGGCTTATTTGAAGTCCTGGCTGGAGTAGTGCAGGAGATTAGACGATCTCATATAGCAGCCTTGAAATTGTCTTTAGTTTGTAGTTCAAAGCTGATTTTTGGGTGGTGTTTGTCAGTTTAGCGGTACAGATGCATTCAGGCATCTGTACTGCCCTGTCCTTGGGGTTATGACAGGATACGTCCCCCTCCCCCACCCTGTAGCTACTAAGAGCACCACCTGTGCACATTCACTATGTTCCTTTTTAAAGGGGCCTACCCACCTCCCATCTTTTTCTTTCTGTGCTCTGTCTCTCTCTGTCTGTCTCTCCCTCCCTTTCTCCCTCCCTCCTTCCCGCTGCTCCTGTCTCCAGAGGCTGGTCTCCCTCTTCTTCCCCCCCCCCTTTCCCCATTCCCTTTCCCCCAATTAGAAAAAAAAAAAAAAAACCTCCTCCTGAGTTCTGACACATGGCATCTTTCTCTCTCATGCTGCTTTTTAAAATTACAACAGTAGTGTTATGACAATCCAAGTGGAATGGTCATTGTGGGATCCATCATACTTTTGGAGATTCCAAAGGTCGCTTTTAGGAGTGGTCAGGGTTTACTGTAGAAAACTTAAAACATTTTAAATGTCATATGCAGCAGATCTCAGAGAGGTTAAAGGATCAGAATTTGTTAACTACATTCAGAGTACACAAAACTTAAGTTTTAGTTACCTGATTCAGACACAAGACAGAAATCATGTACAGGAAACTGAAGATGAAGTTTTTGTTTTGTTTTGTTTTTGAATTAGTACTCCCAGGCATAAAGCAAAAGATACCCAGCCTACAATCCACAACCCCAGAGAAGCTTGAACCCTCTTCCAGAAACAGAAACAGATGCAGAAATCCACAACTAACCAATGGGCTGAGCTCCTGGAGTACAATCAAAATGAGGGAGGAGTGATAATATGAACAAAGGAATCAAGACCAACCCACAGAATCACTAGCTGGCCTGAGCTAGTGAGAGATCACTGACTCAGGTCTGACAAATGGGGAACCTGCATAAGACTGAACTAGATTCCTTTAATATAGTTGACAATGGTGCAGCTAGGACAATATATGAGGCCACTGGCAGTGGGTCCAAGATCTAACTCTAATGCACAAACTGACTTAGAGGAGCCCATTCTATGTGGAGAGATACCTTGCTCAGCCTAGACACAGCCATTTGGGGTGGGGGGTGCCTTGGTGAGATGATGGAACAGACTTAGCACACACACACACACACACACACACACACACACACACACACACACACACACACACACTCTTAATCACCCACCAGAGTTCCTCCCTACTTGAGAAAAGAGCCCCCTGATCTGTTAGAAGGGATGTTCAAATTGCACTTGAGTGAGCCTTTCCCCATCTCCTGCCCACCTTCACAATCTTTCCTGCACTAACTCTTGATTCCTATCTAGGTAATTTTCTCTGCCAGTTTCTTTCAAGGCCTCCCTCATTTATTTTGAAAATTTTGAAAATTTCATGTTTCTTAAATAAATTCACCTCAAAGCACTATTTCTCATCTTGAAAAGCAGTGCTTTTGCTGAGATTTCATTTCTGTCAACTCATGTTTCCTACTATTTAGTCATCCAGGTAACTACTGCCCCCCACTATTAACCCCCCCCCCAGCTAATTCTTGTTTTGTGAGACAGGGTCTATGTAGCCTTGGCTGATCTGAAACTCACTATGTAGATAGACCAGGCCTGCCTCTGCCTTCTGAGTGCTGGGATTAAAGGCCTGAGCCATCATGCCTGATCCTCCCACCCCCTTTTGAGACAGTTTTCCATCATTTAGCTGAGGATGAAGTTGGCCCCTGATCTCTGCCTCCACCTCCCAAGTGCTGGGATTAGAGGCATGGGCCACCTTATCCCTCCCACGCCATGCCTGCCTCAGTAGGAAATCTCACTTTGATTCTAATGTGGATTCAAAGGATCTTCCTCCTGGAGTAGCTGGCACTGCAGGTGTATGCCACTGGGTTAGGTAGGCAGCTGTGTGGTATCCATGTGTGGGTACCAGCTCATGTATACATTGTGCACATGCGTGTGTGTTGTGGAACAATCTTTGCACACACTAAGTGTGTATTACTCTCATTGGTTAATAAAGAGCTGAGGGCTGATGGCTAGGCAGGATTTTGGGGGCAGACAGAATGCTGGGGAGAAGAAGGGCAGACTTAGAGGAGACACCATGAGATGCAAGATGCATAGTGAGTGTTAGTATTTAGGCATTTTACTGGCTGGTGTTTGGAGTTCTGGCAAGAGATGCCCTCAGCTGCTGCCACTAAGAGCACCACCTGTGCCTATTCAATATGTTCCCTTTTAAAAGGGCCCTGTCCTCCACCTATCTTTCCCTCTTTGTATCTGTTCCCCCCTCCTGTGTGTGTGTGTGTGTGTGTGCCTCTCTTTCCTCTTTCCCCTCCCTTTTTTACAGTCCTTTCCTTCTATTAAAAACTCCCTCCTCTTGAACTCTGTCACATGGCATTTTCCCTTTCTCTCTCGGGCTGTTTTTTTAAATTACAACAGCAGGCTGGGGAGTATGTGTAGATGAGGTAAACAAGCCTCAGGGTAACACTTGGTGAATAGAAATAGGTTCATTTAAGTTATAAGAGCTAGTTAAAAACAAGCCGAAACTATCGGCCAAGCATCTATAATTAATAAGTCTCTCTGTTGTTTTTTTTTGAGTTGGCGGCCCCTCAAAAAGTCCAACTACAAATGGCACCCAAATGTTTGGCATTTATATCCACATCAGACCTGAGAAAGCTTTAAAAAGATTCTAAGCACACAAAAACAGCCAAACACAGCTTCCTGGTCTCATTTCTCTCATGCCAGCTGTGGTACAGAGACCACAGCCTGCAGGATTGAGCTGCCAGTCTGAGCACTGCCAGAATGAACTCCACCAGCACTCGATGAACTAAGCCACATGGCAGGTTTAAGTTTTGTTCATTTAGACAGATATGCAATAAAGACAGATCCAGATTGGGGAAAGAAAAAAAATACACTAAACAGGTTACAGCGTGTTTAAAAATTTACATAGGCTTTGGAGAGAAAAGAGAAATGGTATAGACAGATATAAAAAATAGCTTAAAAATAATGTCTTTAAAGAAAGAATTAAGTGATATAAACGAAAAAAGCCACACAAAGATGGAAAATACATGGGGAGTCTGGATTTAGTATGTTATTGTGCCCCATTAGAATTTTTTGATTGCTAATGAAGAAACAATAACTGTGAAGAGACACTTTGATTGTGAAGGCTGCTGGATTAAACCACCCTATATATTTTTAAAATGTCTTGACTTCAAAATGGAAGTCAAAAGATGTGTTGCTTTGGGGAGGAGGTTATGCTTTTGTTCCCACTGAAAATAAAGGCTGTGGATTCATTCAAGGTTAAAGATGATCAGGTTTGATCAAGGAAGACCCCTGAAAATCCTGGCAACAGACAAAGAAATAACTCTAGAAAAACGACAGACACATAACACATTATTTTTTTTAAATATTTTATTTATTTATTTAATTTATGTATACAACATTCTGCTTCCATGTATATCTGCACACTAGAAGAGGGCACCAGATCTCATAACGGATGGTTGTGAGCCACCATGTGGTTGCTGGGAATTGAACTCAGGACCTCTGGAAGAGCAGTCAGTGCTCTTAACCTCTGAGCCATCTCTCCAGCCCCTATTTTATCTACTCAAACATAAAACAAAATAATCATCTTTGGCTAACTTGTGTACAACACACAGTCTATATATGTATTAATGCAAATATGTATGTTACCTTAAAAAGTTTATGCATTTTTCAGACCAAGGGGACCAGACACCAATGAAAACAGATGGCCCATGTGATTCAATGTCTCAGGATGCCTCTGTTGCAGTTTCCTCAGAGTTCTGCATCCAGAACAGCTTCAAGGATGCTGGCTGAGATAATCTAGCCTCACAGACTACTCCAGCCAAGAATTAACCATTATCCTGACTTTTCACGGGGCCCCCCAAAGATGCCAGTGCCCCCAGACAACAGGAAGCAGTCTAGAGAAACAACAGCCACATTCCCAAAAGATGGGTTATGGATGTTTGTCATCAATTAAGGGGGGTTGGTTACAAGTTGTTATTGGTCATAATCAGGGAAAAAGCTAAACAAAGGAGTTACATTCAAAGATGTCTTCCTAAAGGAACAAGGGGGATATGATATAGAAATGATGATAAAAGGGTAGATTATTGAATCCAATTAATTAATTTAAAAAGTAACTATTAATTTCAAAATGTTTTATATTGATTTTGGCTTATTGATACAAATTTAGAGTTATTTTTGTTATACTGTATATATGTTTCTACTCTTGTTTGGTGTATTGTGCTTATGCAGCTCATTTAAAAAATATAATTAAGAAATACAGGTTAGTAGTTAAGTCATTTATAATAATCAAACTGTAGTCATATTAGTCATGTTTTCAAGGATAAACAGATATATAGTCTTCAAAAACTTCAAAGACCAACAGAATATGGCATTAAAATACTTGAATAACATAAGGCTTTTTCTTGACAGTAAGACATGTCTGTTCCTCACAGCACCAATTTATTTCAAAAAAAGATAATGGACATTGAAGAAACTCTGTATGGTCTTTGCATTCTTTATGGCAAAAGCTAGCTATTTGGGCAAGCAACTGCCCTATTCTCAATTGCTGACAGTATACTGTCCAAACTGAACCAGCAAGACACAAAAGAAAGCAACTGCCAAACTTTGCCAAGACAAGGTATTGTTCTTCAAAATTTCTTGCTTTTGAAAAATGTATGCCAGATATACTAGGCCTGTAGGCCAAAGATGGATGCCCAACCTTACAGAAGAACTCTGGGTTACTGTCCAGGCAGCCAGATGTCAGTCATTAACTAACATTACACCCTTCTGGGGGCTTTGATGGAGTTAAACACTAAGTAATTAGATTTAAAGTTTTCCTTAGTTATGATAATAGGTAAATTAGGTATCAAACTTTAGACTCACAAAGATAGATATTTTCTCTAATGTTGCCAAGTACAAATTGACTGGATATTGTAACTGTAAATCTTACTTGATAACTTTTTGTTATAGTTTTACTATGTTAAAGTTAAAAACCTCCTTTTTAATTAGACAAAAGGGAAATGCTGTGGAACAATCTTTGTACACTGTAAATGTGTATTACTCTCATTGGTTAATAAAGAGCTGACTGGCCAGTGGCTAGGTAGGATTTTTGGGACAAAGAGAATGCTGGGGAGAAGGGCAGAGTAAGAGGTGACACCATGAGATGCAGAGCAAGCAGGGTGGGTAGAACGTACATGAGGAGAATGAACCTTGGGGCAACATATAGATTAATAGAAATGGGTTATGTTATAGAAGCTAGTTAAGACATGCTTAAGCTATCAGGAAAGCATTTATAATTAATAACTATGTGTCACTGTTTTTTAGTTGGCGGCCCAAAGAAAGTCTGACTACAATGAGTGCTCATGTATAGAGGCCAGAGACTGAAGTCTTTCTGATTGCTCTCACTTTATTTACTGAGGCAGGGACTGAACACTGAACACATGGCACATCATCTTGCCCTGGGAATCCCATCTCTTGGATGACAGGATTACAGGCCAGCTTCCACACCTGCTTTGTGGGTCCTGGAGGATGGTAACTCCAGTCCTCAGACTTCTGGAACACTGTGCACTGAGCTGGCTCTCCAGCCCTGGGTAACATTTTCACACCGCAGCCAACAGATTTCAATAGACTCTGAATACTAGCAGCTGAGAGAAAGTTAAACCATCATACTGGGAAGGAAAAATAATTCCTGTCATTTTCCATTTTGTGGTGTTGTTTTTTTGAGACAGGGTTTCTCTGTGGCTTTGGAGGCTGTCCTGGTACTAGCTCTTGTAGGCCAGGCTGGTCTCGAACTCACAGGCATGTACCACCACCACCGAGCTCATGTCATTTTTCTTGCATGTCATCTCTCTCTCTCTCTCCCTCTCCCTCTCCCCCCTCTCCCTCCTCTCCCTCTCTCTCTCCTCCTTGTGCCCAGAGTCTCATACACACCCAGACAACACCCTTTGATCTCCATCACAGTATTGCCAGGCTCCAAAGTTGGTTGGTTGAGGCCTGTGTTTTCTGTGGAAACACCTTTCCCTCAGTAAAAAGTGTAATAAGATGTCTGCAAACCAGGATGCTGAGACAGCCCAAGAGCAGAAAGCTCACTGACACCTTGGTCTCTAAAACCACCCCCCACCAGGTGTCAGGCTCTGATTCCAGGATCAGGCAGGGAAAATACAAGACATGCCTGTGGCATCTTACATAGTGTAGATGCTAAAAACAAAAGTGTTGGACATCAAGGGAACACATGAGCCTATGCTAAGGTTTAGACAATGTAAGTTACAACTCAAACTACGGTGTGAACCCGAAGTTTTCTGTTTTTTTTTCAAGACAGGGTTTCTCTGTGTAACAGCCCTGGCTGTTCAGGCTTGCCTCTGGCTCCCGAGTCCTGGGATTCAAAGCGTGTGCCACTATGCCCAGCTCAAGCTTTGTTTTTATGCAGGACAGCAACTCCCCAAGAGCAGAGGCTGTGGCCCTTAGTAGATGCTGTGGGCTTGTTTGTTTCTGGTTAGTGCTGGGAATTGAACATAGGACCTGTGCTAAGTATTTTCATTGCCACTGCCTGCATCCTCAGCCTGTTAATACCTTCTAAAAAAACTACTTCGAAATCCAACTGTGATGTGCCCAAGAATCTAAAATGGTTTGCTTTGAAAACTTGCATGTTATGGAATAATATTTCTGTACACTGTGAAGATGTGTCTTTGACAAGGTGCCTTCTGATTGTTTTAGTAAAAGGCTGACTGGGCAAGAGCTAGGCAAAAAGAGGTTAGCCGGAAAGCCAAACGCAGGACCCTGGGAAAAAAAGCAGAGTTTCAGGAGTTGCCACCCAGATGTAGAGGAAGCAGATGAATATCCTGTGCTGAAAAGAAAAAAAAAAAAAAAAAGGAACCCCCCGGCCCCACCCAAAAAAAAAAAACCCCAAAAAAAAAAAAAAAAAGAAAAAAAAAAAAAAAAGGTACCGCTACATAGTAGAGTGTACATAAAAATGGGTTAATGAAAGATGTAAGAGCTAGCTAGTAACAAGCCTAAGCTATTGAATGAGCATTTATAATCAATAATAAGTTTCTATGTGGTTATTTGGGAGACAGCTGGCAGGACAAAGAAAGACTAGTTTTTTTTTCCCCTCCCCTTAAAAAGGACATCGTTCCACTAACAGAATAATTGTCGACTATTTTCAGTGCACCAGAGACACTTAATGAACCAGTGAGGACATTATACCTGCTCCTGAAGAACAACTGTGTGTGAAACCATGTTGTACTCTGGTATGCCAGTCACCCCCCCACCCCAGGTTCCAGGGTGCTTTTGTGTCTTGGAGGAGGGAGGGAAAGCCAGGTGTTGCTTTGAGGTTTTGTGCGTGCGTGCATGCATGTTACATGTACATGAGTGTGGTAAGAACCCATGCAGTATGTGCAGAGATCTGAGCAGGAAGTCTGAGATCTCAGACTTACTGCCTTCAGGCAGGATCTTTCACTACATTGAAATGTTCACTGTTACCCCAGTCACTGCACTCTCTCTGGATCAGCATGTATCCACCTTCCCAGGGTTGGGGTTATAGGCACACAAAACCATGCTCACCTTTTTATGTGGGTTCTGGGGATTTGAACTCAGGTTCCCAAGCTTGCAGGGCAATGGCTCTTACCAGTAGAACGTCTCAGCCCTGGTTTTCCCCTAGATAGAATCTCACTCATTAGCCCAGGCTGATCCTGAACTTGCAGTAGTGCTCCTGTGCCAGTCTTCCCTGTCCTGGAATTACAGGCATGAGCTAACCATATCCAAACATTGCTCATTTTAAGTTGGATCCCACCAAACCCTGCTTTCCAGGAAGAGGCCCAAGAGGGTAGCAATCCAAGGCTGTGCAATTGGCTAACAAAAAACATTAGTTCTCTGCTCATAATTTCATTTTTGTTTTTGAGACTAGAACTCAGAACTCATTAAGTCCAGAATGATCTTGAGCAAAAGCAAGTCTCCAGTCTGTCTCCGATGAACTGATTAGTCATACCACCTTGTTACTGCATGTGGACATGCATGCAAGGCCAGAAGAGGACCTAAACAGGCTTTCCCATTGAACCTGGAGGTTGGCTGGAGACTAGTCTTCCTCACTGATCCTTCTTTCTCTGCTCCCACAGTGCTAGGGTCACAGTCAGGCATGCCATCCCACTTGGCTTTTCTTTTTTGAACTCAGGTCTCTACTTGTGCAAGTGCTTTATCCACTAAGCAATCTTTCTGGAGTCTGCCCCCCTTTTTGTTATATAGCTCAGGCTGTTAACATCTTGTCTCCTTGAGTGCTAGGGTAACAGGCACATTGCTTAGGAAATGGCTCAAATTTTATCAAATATTTCGACACAGCATCCAGAAACCCAAAAGCAGGAGCTGGAGAGATGGCTCAAGAGGTTGCTCTTCCACTTCCAGAGGTCCTGAGTTTAATTCCTAGGAACCACATGGTGGCTTACAACCATATGTAATGAGATCTGGTGCCCTCTTGTGGCCTGGAGGTATATATGCAGACAGAACACTGCATACATAATAAATCTTAAAACAAAATTTGTAGTTTTGGAATTGCTTCACTGAACTCAATTCCAAACTGTATTTCTGCTGTTGAGCTAGATGTTAGCCTGATTATTTATCAAGCCTTAAATTAAAAATTCTCCATTTTTATACTAGTTCATATTTAAAATCGTGATGAATGGGCCAGTCTGCATATAGCAGCCACTGATTTCCAAGATGTAGTCACTACCCTACCTTCTCCCTGAATCTACTCCCCTCCCCACAAATGCCATCAGATCCTTCAGAAAGCCTGCATCCCACAGCTTCCTGGATGGGAATGCTCTGTGTAAGAGTGCTGTAGACATTACCACATTACACCATTCAATCTGGTGGTGACTTTTGTAACTGAGGCTTCCAAGGCACCTAGACCTTCCCAAACCACTTCCCGAGTCCATTTTTATGACTGATGCTACCGGGTGCCCAGGACTTTTAGACTTGGCTCTTCAGCACAGAGGAGTGGGCTCCCTGACTGCATACATTAGGACACCGAGTGTGTTCAGCCCCAATCCAGGAAAGCACTTTACCATGGTGGAAAACTGCTCTGGTGCTCCAGCTGGACACTTTATTACACAGAAGCCAGCAAATTTTAGATTATGTGGATATGAAATACAAAGTATTTATTTGGGATCAGACTGAATTTGTTCATTTTGTAGGGTGAAGGCTCAGAAACTTCATGGAGAAGAAGGCAAGAACCAAGCCAGCAGCTGCAGCTGCCACAGACCCAGCAGGACACCAGAGGTGTCACACCCACTCAAAGGCCTGGATGAAGCTTGAGTGAAGTCATGAGGTAGGTCTTGCATGCAGGCTGATGTGCTGTAAACTCCACTGGACTACATACAAAGCAGCATTTAGCTCTGGACTTTTTTTCACGCTAAGCGTGCATGTGTACATGCATGCACACACGTACCTTAAGCACAAGCACACATGAGCACTGGTATGTGCCTGGAGATCAGAGGACGATTTGCAGAAATTGATCCTCCTCCCACATGTGGACCCAGGGGTCAAGCTCAGGCCATTGTGCTGGGCAGTGAGCACTTTTACCTGCTGAGGCATCTCGTTGGCCCAATTTTTTACATTCCTTTCAAAGGTATCTTTGGGATTTTTCTTTTTCTTTTTTCCCTAAATGACTTACTTTATTTTATGTGCATTGGTATTTGGTCTGAATGCATGTCTGCGTGAAGGCGTTGGATTACTTGAAGCTGTATCCTCTGTAAGAATAACCTGTGCTCTTAACCACTGAGCCATCTCTCCAGCCTCACCTTTGGGATTCTCATCTACTGTAACGATTAATGGGAGATTTAAAAATCAGTGGTATTGGGTTGGAGAGATGGCTCAGAGGTTAAGAGCACGGGCTGCTCTTCCAGAGGATCTGAGTTCAATTCCCAGCAACCACATGGTGGCTCATAACCATTCATAATGAGATCTGGTGCCTTCTTCTGATGTGCAAGCATGTGTGTAGATAACTATACAGAATAAATAAAATCTTAAAAAAAAAAAAAAAAAAAACCCAGTGGTATTATTGGGGTGACCTTCTGCCTGGAGTCCTAATATACACAGCTAGACTGATGTTTGCTTGTCCTGGACTCCAAGGGCACTGCCACCTAAACACAGTCACTCTCTGTATCCCCACTGGACAGATACACTCATGGCCCACATACACACCATCATCCCACACTGTCAGAAGCAACTGGGATTAGACAATAAGCAGCCGGCACACAGGTGACGGCTGTCACAAGGAGACGTCGCTTTACTTTATTTTAAACTTGCAATGCTCGCCTTTATTTTGTTCCTTATATTTTGAAAGTGAAAAGAAATAGTATTGAGTCAGTTCCTTTATGTTTTTAAATATTTGTTCTATGTATTTACAAGCCTTAAGGTTGCTCTAGCCATTTCAATGGTATTCAGGTTATTTTCCAGGGCAGCACTTTTTCTGAACGAGTCTTGGATTTTTCTGGTCCACAGTACTTCCTTCTGTTCCAAGGTTATGTATGTTTTGTGATTACTAGTGTGATTTTTACATTTTTTGAAGCAAGCTGAGAGGCAGGCAGAAAGATCTGATGCCAGGGGTGGGAGTGGGGCAACAGAGAGAGGCAGAGAGAGAGAAAGAGAGACAGAGAGAGAGAAATGAGGATGAGAGAGAGAGGGGGGAGGGAGAGAGAGGGAGGGAGAGAGAGAGAGAGAGAGAGAGAGAGAGGATCTTTCTTACCTTGTTCACCCCAAACCTTCTCAAATCTGGACTAACAGCTATGTCTTAACACAAATGTGAGGTGCATCTGAAGGGAAGGGAAATTTATTTTTCTGCTTTTCTATTATACAAGTTGTTTACAGAAACTGCAAATTAAAAAATTACACACTGGCATTTGCAGTCCTTAAAATAAATTAAAAGTTCTCAACTGTTTTTTTTTTTCCTTTCCTTTTTTTTTTTTTTTTTTTTTTTTGCTAAATGTGTTTTTTTTTTTTTTTTTAAGTATGAGTCCTCGTTTAAGAAGAAAAGATTAAAACAGAAAATATTTTCTATAAATAGTACATGTATTTTGGTTTCCGAGCTCCCGCCCTCAGGTCTGCTGTCTCCTGGTTCCAGCACCTTTATCCTCCATGATCACCTGTTTCCTTTCCCTCTCCCACTCGTGCACACGTGGGGTTTCTGCGAGAGTTGGCCTTGCTGCACTGTGATTGGCGAAGACGTGAAACTTTTTAAAAAAATACTTAAATTGTTTCTTTTGTTTCGTTTGTGTATTTGAAGTATTAGTTATCCTCAGACTCCTCTTCCGCTTCCCGCAGCCACGTGAAAAATGCTGTGACAGATTTGAGGGCCACGCCCTTCCCGTTCTGCTCTGCAGGGTCCTTGCTGCTCTCCCATTTGTAGAAGGCATCCTCTGAGATCACCTCCTCATCATACAGGCAATCAAAAAACATCCGGAGCAAATCTGCAAGTGGGTGAAAACAGCCATTGGTCTGGGCACTGCAGTAGCAAGGGGAAGCAATGGTGTGTGAATGAGTAAGCAATGCAAGCAGTGGACGAATGAATGAATGAATGAATGAATCAACGCAGGGAATGAGTGAATCAACACAACCAACTACTGCTGGCTTCCTAGGACCATGCACCACACGCTCTGGATGGGTGCCGAGGGACGTGGCACCTATTTGCAGAAGAAAACCCTAAGCAGCTACATTACCTTTATACCTTTATTTTATTCAAATCCAATGATGTTCACATACTGGTGAGGCTGTCTCCTATCATGTAGTTACCAAATTAAACAATTTAAAAATTCTAAGGCTGTACTGAAAACAAAGAGTGACTACATGAAAAATGCAGGCCCAGGTGATCTCTGCATTTTGGTATCTTAAATGTCTCAACTTTTTGAACAACTGAAATTATTTTTCTCTTACAGTGGAAACTTGTATTACTACGCAAGAAAGGGATAATGCTGTTAGAGACATTAAACTCCTTTAAATGTAGTTATTCTTCCTTTAAGAGTTCCTTGGAAGAGAGTTCAACCCACAGCACTGCAAGAGAGAAAAAGAAAATTCCTTCATGAAGGTATTTCACTATGTAGCTCTGGCTGGCCTTGAACTTACGGAGATCCGCTTGCCTCTGCTCAGTGAGTGCTGAGATTAAATGTGTGGCCTTTAAGAGTCACTTGTAGTCAGCTTCCTGATCATCACACTAATGGACTCAGCAGTGAATGAATGATAAATGCCAATAAATATGAGAACCAGACAGATTCTTAGTTACATTTTTAGATTAATTTTTTAACTACATTATCTAACACTGAAATAAATCATGCACCCCCCTCCCCAACCCAACTAAAATAAAATAAATAACTCTAGTTGATCTACAGGGGCATGGAGCAAGGCCACAAGTCTGTCAGCTGCAGGTTTCCAAACCAACAGTTCTCAGGATGACTGAGGTCAATATGATTCCTAATGTCAACCAAGCAGTCATTTCATCAGACAGCATCTCATCTGAAAAGCTAGTGTCATCTTCTGCAAGAGCTCAAAAAAGCACGCTGTCCTGTTACATGACCTCACATGATTTTGGGAGAAGGAAAAACAATTACAGTTTTGGATTCAGACTTACGTTCTGAGGATAATTTGTTTTAGCCCTTTCTGTCTCCCAGGAAGATTCAGGGGTACTTTCACTTTCCAAGTTGCGAAAGCCATAACCCAAGCAGTGTCTGGGAACCACTCAAGGCCGTCCCTGAAATAAGCTCCACCCATGTGCACAAACTGCAGTGAATTCCTGAGGGCGTGAATCACTGGCCAGCACCTAACACTAGGGTGTGCGAGTAACTGATGCCTTAGCAAATGCCAGTGGCTCAGGATGCTGAAATCACTGGCCAGCCTCAAAGCTATTCAATATGCTTCTGATATATCCACATAGGGTCAACTAAATACAAGTTAAATAAAATGGAAGATTCAGAACTTAGTCACCACGGCCACAAGCATCTTAGGTGACCAGGTCCCCACAATGAGCAGTGGATTGTATACACATCCACCGTGACACAGGAGGTTCCATCAGATCTGGCCTATGGAGAGGATCCACCTTCTATACCAGGTTTACTTCTTTTCTTTGAGAAGATATGCTCCCCTTGCCCTTAGCCACCCCCATATGCTGGGATGAAGTGCGCTACCTGCATAGTTCAACTAGACTTTTTAAAATTATATTTAAAATTTTATGTGTTTGGGTGTTTTCTGTACATGAACATTAGAGAAAAATACATTTGCTACTGTGCACCAAGTACATGCCTGGTGGCTCTAGAGACCAAAAGAGGGCGCAGGATTTCCAGGAAGTGGAGTTCCAGATGGTTGTGAGTGGCCATGTAGGTGCTGGGAACTGAGCCAATGCTCTTCACAATTGAACTGTACCTTATACCTCTTTAGGCCCTAAACTAGACACCCCAACCCCATCCAGGCTTTTTGAGACAGTGTTTCTTTGTCCAGCCCTGGCTGTCCTGGAACTTGCTCTGTAGACCAAGCTGGCATCTGCCTCCTGCGGGCTGGGATTTAAGGCATGCACCACCACTGCCCAGCTAAACTAGACGTAGCATTTTTCACACAGGTTTTCACATGGTTGATTCTAAAGGTTGCTGCAAGTCGTCCTACTGCCCATGTCCAAACCCCAACTTTCAAGTACTACAAGTTCTCCTTGATAGGTTGGCCTCTCTGTGCCAAGATGGGAACTTACTGGCAGGTTGGTCAAGTTTTACTATTGACGCTTGTAGTGCATAAAGTGCTTGCAGTTCCTTCTCTGTGTCTGAGTCTAGGTACTTGAGTAAGATGGGCACTCTCTGCTTGATCACGGCAGTGTCCACTCGGAAGGTAGGACAGTCAGCTGCAGGGACAGTAGAACCAGAGTCAACACAATTCTGTTGCTCTGAGCACAGCGCATATACACACATCTGGGAAAAGTGAGGTAAGGGGTCCAAAGCAAAGACTGGAATCTGTACATTCTTTTGTGGTACTGGGGATGGGACCACGTGTCTCACATACTAGGCAAGCACTTCCCACCAAGCTGCATCTTCAGCCATTCCTGGCCTTATTTTGCGACAGTGTCTCACTCACTAAGTCGCCTAGTGAGGCCTTAAATATTCTCTGTAGCGGTTGACCCTGCTGCCTCAGCTTTCGAAACAGCAAAGATTACAGGCCTCTGGTACTAGTGCATTTCTAATGGTACATTATATAAAAAATGACATAAAACCTGAAGGGGAAATGCACGTTGAGTGCAGATTCCCCAACTTGCAGAAACTGCAAGTTCCAAGACCATATAAAATCAGATCATGAAATGCAAAGCTGACAATTGTACTTCAGATGCTAGGAACTGCTAACAACAAATGTCACTCACCTATAATAGCTGCTTTGCAAACGGCCGTCATTAAAGCTCTAAGGAATGTAGGCGAACTCATCTGGCTCTCGTCTAGATTAGCCTGGAAATGAAAACAGAAGGAATGTATGTTAGAGCAAGGTGCTTGCACTTGTCGGGAAATGCTGCAGGCAGCCACTCAGGGTTCAGGCACTTCTTCCTCTGTCAATCACACAGCACCATGTACTACGTTCATTTGGAAGTGCAACAGCTGAACAGCAGCATTCCTCAATAATAACCCACAAGAGGAGACCTACCTATCTACATTTAAAAGCAACTGCACCACAGCTGAGTGTGGGTGCTCATGTCTTTTAATTCCAGTACTGGGGGCTTGGGGAGGGGGGAAGAAGAGAGGGCAGGGCAGATGCTCTGAGTTCTAGGCAGCCTGGTCTACAAAGCAGCTTGAGGCCAACCAGGGCTACAGAGTAAGCTGCAGCTACACCAGGAGTGCAGTATAGCCTAGGCCAT